ATACAGGAGCGCCCCAGGGAGATACACTCGGGCAAATGAACTTCTTTTCCAGCAAATCCTCTACCTGTTTCTTCAATTCAGCTAATTCTGCTGGAGCCATACGGTATGGTGCCATAGAGATTGGGCCTGAACCAGGAATTAGATCAATCCCAAATTTGACCTCTCTCTGAGGTGGCAGCCTTGGTATCTCATGTGGAAACACATCAAGAAATTCTCTCACAACCGGTACCTCTTTCAGGATATTATCCTTCATTTCATCCATCTGAGTTAGAATCAAATAACACTGAGCTCCCTCTCATAGCTCTTTCTGAACCTGCAGAGCTGATGTAATAAGCTCATCTCCTAATTCTGGATGTACCAACCTCTTCTGTCCACAGTCAATCAGAATGCGATTGGTAGATAACCAATCCATCCCTAAGATCACATCCATATCCTTCAAAGGTAAACCGATTAAGTTCACCTTGTACTGTCGTCCTTTTACGACAACTAGGCACCTTAAACACACATAGGAAGACACCACCAGTCCAACTGCTGGTGTAGATACCCTCAATTCATAGGGTAGGTCACACACAGGTAACTTAAGTTTATCCATACAATTATCAGCAATAAAAGAATGGGTAGCACCTGAATCAAACAAAACTCGTAGAGGTATATCTGAGATAAAACACACACCTTGCACTAAATTCTCTGACCTCGATGTCTCTGCTCCTGACAAGGCAAACACCCGTCCTACAGCTCTGGATTTCGCGTCACTCCCCCTGGGTGCTAATGATGCCCCAGCTGAGACTATAACATTGGGCTTCTATGGACAGTCTCTAGCCATATGTCCTGGCTTCTGGCAAGTGTAGCAAAGACCTGACCGAGAAGTCTGGGAAGAATTAGTGAAGGCATTTTGTGGGCACTAATTCCTGTAATGAGGGCCTCCACATTGAAAACATTTTACCCCGGATACAGATCCCGATGATCGAGGTGCTGGGGTAACACTACCACTCCTAGAAGACTGGGGGCGTGAATAAGACATCCTCCTCTCTGATCTACTACCCCCACTCGGGACCCCACTTGGGTGGGTCCTCATCACTCTGACTCCTCCCTCCTGGAGTCTCTCTATTGTCTTCGCTTTCTCCACCAGCTTTGGGAATCTCCTGATAGAGAAAGGAACCACCATGAGCTTGATCTCAGCCCTCAAGCCTTCCTCAAACTTCCTACAAAGCCACTGTTCTGAAGATGTACCTGTGTAGAAACGAGATAAGTGCTCAAATCGTACAGCGTAATCATGCACTATCATATTACCCTGTCTCAGACTCAGGAACTCAGTCTCCTTCTGAAATCTAACACTGTCAGGGAAGTATTTCTCCATAAATCTCTCACGGAAGGTTTCCCAATTACACACCTCCCCACGTGCAATCATCATCCTTTGAGTCCCTGACCACCAGAACCCAGCCTCATCCACTAGTAAATATTTCCCGAATGTCAATTTCCTATCTTACGAGCATAAGGTAGCATAAAAAATCTTCTCCACTTCACGCAACCACTTCTCTGCTGCATCTGGACCAAAATCTCCTCCAAAATGAGGTGGATTATGCCTCATGAACTCAGTCAGCCCCATCTGCTCTGATTGGTGGAATCCAGCAGAGGATGATGCCATAGTTGGCCTCCACTGCGGGTAGATAGCCTGCTGCTGCATGGCAGCTGCCAACATTTCCATTGCCCTGACTAGGGCATCTACACTCGATGGAGTAGGAGTAGGAGGTCGCGGTGCCATCCTATATCAAACGCAACCATCAATACAGAGCAAACATTCACACACACTCACATATCAGAGTATAATCACAACGGACTTATCATAGGTTCACTACCCATCCCCACAGATTTACAAGGATACTACCGCTCTGATACCACTATTGTAACGACCCTAGAAATCGCTACTATAATGATGTCTTCGCAAAGTAGTAAACAAGTAAATAACGACATCTATTTTACATTATATTACTGTAATTGTAACATAGATTGAAATTCCGATTCACTAACGGAACCTCAAAATATAGTAACATAATTTATTTATATATTATACATGTAAAAGTAGCTCCCTCGAAGCTATCCCACTAAACTATCCCTGTTGTCCAGTAGTCACATCTCCATCTCTCAACTCCTGATCTGCTCCCATATAAAAGTGATCATCGCAGTCCCATCCACATGGAAAAATAGGGGAAAGTATTAAATCATTCGATATAATAAAATAGATATAGAAGTAATAATTATATATTATGATCAATTACAAAATTATCAACACACTAAGACACCTTCCGGAAGTATACCCTAACTATGCCCGAACTTAGAGGCTATCATCTGTGGACACAATGTGATCGGTACCCGCAGTACCATTCTGACCACCCTCCACACAGAGTAGGATTATTGGCGCCCTTCATCACTCAATACTGGAGTACCCCTCCGAGCGCGCCACCAGTCATCCCCCATCGACTTCTCACCACCTGATCTCATAGTCTACCTGACCCGACCAATCAGTGAAGTCTGGGACCTCATTCAGAATCCTCTGACATAGTTATTACACTAATGTACTCTGTACCACCCCGGGTACCATTCAAACATAACAAAAATTATTCACATTTGCCGGATTCTGGACCACCTGTCCTCACGGCTCATTCAGGTCAATAAAAATAGGATTTGACTGATTCTGGCACTAACCCTCCGGCTCAGTCTAGCAAATATATAACGTCTCAGGATTGATTCTGGGCATCATCCCCCAGGCTCAGTCTGACCCACACATGTCACAACACACTACTTTCATTTTCTCTCTCTCTCTCTCTCTCTCTCTTTATATATATATTTTCCTAAAATCATTTCCGAAATCATTTTCGAAACTATTTCTGAAACTATTTTCGAAATCATTAAATTACTATTTTGCCCTTAATCTTTTCTTAAAATTCCATGTATGTCCCTAAATGACTATTTTACCCTTGGACATTTTCAAAAATTCCTTCCATGTCCCGAAAATGACTATTTTACCCTTGAATAATTTCAAAAATTCCATTTATGTCCCTAGGATGTAAAATGACTATTTTGCCCTTGAACATTTTCAAAAATTACATTTATGTCCCTAGAATGTAAAATGACTATTTTACCCTTGATCTTTTAAAAAAATTCCCACCATATCCCTTTCTTCTTCCTTCGCCCAGTAACAGCGTCAAAATTTGCAGATTTTGGTAGATTTCAAATTACTCAGTTTTAGACAACCAAACTAGTCCCAAATCGAAATTAAACATGAATTATATCTAATTTAAGTTGAAAAAAACAATTTTACCATATAATTCATCCTTAATTTCAAGAATTTAATCAATATTTAAAACTTTGCAAAATATGAATAGTAATCACCTCCAGTACGCCATTTTCAAAATCCAGGTTTCAAATTTCTCAGTTTCAATCACCCAAATTAGTTCCAAATCAAAATTAAACCATAAACATGTTCAATTTAAGTTGAAAACAACAATTTTATTATATAATTCATCCTTAATTTCAAGAATTTCAAAAACTTTCAAACGGTGAACAGTTCATCAAAATCAGAAACTCTTCAAAATCAGGCATTCAAATAATTCATATCTCTACTCCTATTCCTTATTCACAGAGTACTCAGCAATTAAATTTCATATATTGAATGAATTAAACTTCCCCTTACCTGGTATGGTATTTCTACCGAAGTTTTCCCACTTAATTCAAGTTCTCTCCCGTTTCACCAGATCCTGCACGAGTAGAGTCTCGTTGCTTGGAATTTAGACAATAGAAGAAGAAGAATGAGGAACATGTGATATGAGAGGAAGAATTTCCCGCAGAAACCATTCATCTCCCCTTCGAACATATAAAAGAAAAAATTGTACTGTGCATGAGGAAAACTTCGTTACGAAGTTTTCTTGCACAGTAAAAAGCATACGTCACAATGCTCATACTTTATACTATTAAAAAAAACTTTTATTTTATTTCTTTTTCATAAATATAGTATCTCAAAATATTATTTTTATTACAAATTAAACTTGAGTATACAAAACCTTAAATTCAACATATTAACCACTTATGACTAATTTCTTATCTTCTGTTTTATTTGATTTAAAATGAAAATGAAAAAGAAGGAGGAAGTAAAAACTAAAATAAATTTGAGTTGCTTAATATAAAAGGAGAATAATATCTATATAAAAGACATCATAATTGAAATAAAAAAGTATTTATAATAAATAATTATACTTATATCTTTAAATCCTTACAAAGCCTTTTATTTCTTTCTTTCTAAAATAAGAAAAAAAAAAAGATATGGAAGAAGGATTTTTTTTTTTAATCTTTTCTTATACTTTTTTCACTTAAATTATGTATTCACTGAAACCGAGTTTCAATAACATCTTCCAAATTCCAATGCATGGTTAAAGGCGTTTAAGTAAAAATAAAAATGAAGGAGCGTAAAAGGAAACGGAGCTTCAGCTGTTATATACCAAAACACGTTTAATTGCATGGATTGTAGATTCTGAGAAATAAATTGGAAGTGTCTAAATTTTATGACCTGCTAAGTTTCTTCCATTTCAACAGTGGATCAAGTATGAAAAAAATGTTGCATGGGATTCAGGGACCCCATTTCTCCCAACCAAAAAATAATTCACATAAAGATTGATGATATGATATGAGATTAATGTATAAATAAACCCATCAAATATACAACCAAAGAGTTCCGTTGAAGAATGCCTAGATTCTGTATATATATTCAGTATCCTTCCATAGCTATAGATACAACCAGTTGTCCCCACCTACCAGTCAGAAAAACCAATCACTCTAATTCCATGTGTTCAGTTTCTGAGACCTAAAGCTGCTAGCAACATTTTCTATGATCGAAAGTCTTCGAGGTTTTTTCCCTTAAACCATGCTTTTGTACATCTTACCAGAAACAACCAATCAAAACTGTTTCTTTCTCCTATGCTGGTGCCTACACAGCTAAATTGTACCTTCTAAACGATATTCTCAAAACATACTTCTCTTTTCTCAAAAGGGGTTTCTGTAGAATATCTTGATTTAGGCACTGAAGCAGCACCAAGACCCTCAAGTAATGACATCACATCCTTGGTGTCATCTAGGTAATATCTAGCTTTGCTTGGTTTTTGTCCAACAGTGCATGCAAAGATTTCTGGTACTGAGGAGGAAGTAGCACTGTAAGGTTTGCTTAAAATACTCTCAAACATATCCTCATCAGACCTATCATCACCAATGCACAGTACAAAATCTGGCGATTTACCCTTCTTGGATAGGCTAGAAAGAACTTCCTGTGCAACTAACCCTTTAGTAATGCCCTGTAATGTGTTGATTAGTCAACATTAGCTTTTAAGAAAAATAATTGGATAGATCAGAAGAGATAAGTATAGAGACCTGAGGCTTGACTTCGATAATATGTTGTCCCTTTTTTACAACAACAGGCTCATTTGCAAGTACATTTTCAAGGTGATCCAACAGCTCCATGGCTTGCCAAGATCCAAAATCAGGATCGGCATCATGGTAATGCCATACCAAGGCACTCTCTTTGGTCTCTACAGAGGAGCCGTCAGTGGCCTCCATATAAGATCTCAACACAGGCTCAGCAATCCTTTTCCACGCAAAATCTGTATCTGCATGACTCATTTGCCAACTAGCATGCTTACCCCACCTATGGTAAAGATCAAACAAGAATACCATCAGCTTAAAGAACTTGACGATGACATGACAACCATTCTGCCATTAGCAGAAGCACCCATATAAAATAAACACGTGCTAAAAAGATATTTCAAATTTACTCAGCAGAGAAAAGATCAAACTAAAACACCATCAATTTTAACAGGACGACCCCATGAAAAGCTAAAACTTCCACATAAACATGTACTAAAAGGGGAATTCATATTTTCACAGTACCAATGCTGTAAGCCCTGGGTAAGAGCCACTTTCATTTTCAATTTTCTGTTTTTCTATTAAGGAGTATATTCTGGTACAGTTTAAGTCATTTAAGGGACGTCATTATGATTAACAATTGAATTTCACATAACCAACTATAAATCACTAACCTTATAAAATAACCATGCTCAGCTGCTATACCAAGATTCTCACACTGATCAAACCATTCACTCAATGATGTTTTTCCCCTGCCACTAACAATAAACACAGTGTTGTTGACATCACTGCAAAGGTTATTTAGCACCGATATGACTTCAGGATTGGGGGCTTTATCAATGGATGCTTGAGGTACAACTGTACCATCATAATCCAAAAGGATTGCCCTGCAACTGCTCCTTTTATATGCAGGGACAACGTGGTCTATGGATAGCCTCCTGAAACTAGGAGAGAGAGATAAAATTCTGAAGTTCAGGCCAAAGCCAATGCCCCAGCAACGGTTCCTAGAGTGATCCTTGCACGAAAACACTAGATCTTGCTCAAAACTTCGAGCCCAGTAGGCCACATCATGAGAACTAACGTATCTATAGTGCTTCTCATGTCGAAGCTGCTTCTCTCCATCAGGCATTGTGATTGCCAAATTTAGTGCTTCAGCTACTGCATCAATATCCCATGGATTTACCCTTATTGCGCCACTAAGAGATGGTGAGCAACCGATAAACTCAGAAACAACAAGTGCACTTGCACGCGGAGAGTCAGGAGCAATTCCCAAGGCTTCATCCATTTTAGAACTTCCCTGCCTACAAACAGTGTACTTGTAGGGAACCAAATTCAAACCATCGCGAACTGCATTCACAATGCAACATTCTGCCAAAGCATAATAGGCTGCCTTCTCATAGTAAGGAACATGGCGATCAATGATGATGATAGGTTCATAACCTTCCAAACCAAACCTTTCATTTATCTTTTTGGCAGTAATGTAGGCTTCCTCCTTTGCATCCTCAATATCTTTGTCAGCACTACTTGGGGGGTTTAAAATTTGGATCAGTATCAATTTACCTTGCATTTCTGGATATTGCTGGAGGAGTTGTTCTATGGCCAGAAATTTTAAACTGACACCTTTGAATATGTCCATATCATCAACACCAAGAATAAGCTTTTTCTCCTTAAATTGTTCGTGGATTTCTCTGACTTTGTTAGAAGAGGAAGGGTGATCTAAGGCAGATTGAAGTCGACCCATGTGAATCCCAGCAGGCAAAATTTTAATGAATATTGTGCGGCCAGAGTATTCAAGCCCAATGTAACCCCTCTTGGATTCGTGTTCCAAGCCTAGCATTCGCCTGCAGCAGGAGAGAAAATGGCGAGCATAATCAAAGGTGTGAAAACCAACTAAATCTGCGTTAAGCAGTGCTTTCAAAATGTCACCTCTGACAGGCAGAGTTTTATAAATTTCTGATGAAGGAAATGGACTGTGGAGGAAAAAGCCAAGCTTGACTCGACTACACCGCTTCCGCAGAAATGTTGGAAGCACCATAAGATGATAATCATGAACCCATACATAATCATCTTCTGGATTAAGGACCTCCATGACTTTATCTGCAAATATCTTGTTAGCAGAAACATAAGCCTGCCACTGTGATCTATCAAAGCGACGATTGCCTGGATACATGGGCAACATGTAATGGAATAGAGGCCACAAATGTTGCTTGCAGAATCCATCATGGAATTGTTTGTAGAGTTCTGAAGGAATAAAAGTAGGCAAGCAGTTGAATTCCTCCAGCAACTGAAGGGAAACTTTATCTTGCTCGCTTGCATCAACATCAACCTTCAGAGATCCCACATACACAACATCAGCATCAGGAGAGAGACCATCCTTTAACTGCCAAAAAATAGAATCCTCATCATAACTGAAGCACCATCTACCAGATACTTTATCCCTTTTCGCATTGAGAGGAAGAGAATTTGACACTATAATTATCTTGCGACGGTGTTCAGTTGAGAAAACACTTGAATCATCATCATTACTTTGTTTACCATCTCCATCAGAATATATTACTGGATCAGTCATAACTCGCGGAAGAGATCTTGGAGTTTGAGGGAAATTCAGCATATCCCCTGATACCAGGTCTAACAAATTCAAGCATGACCTAGCCACCATCTCTCTTCAAACTTTTTGAATGTACGAACAGGCACCTACAACTGAAAATATCTTGAAACTAACCAAAGAAATGCAGGTACCTGAAAAAATAGAAGAGCAGTTGTCATTATCTATATACAATGCAGCAGCATAGCACATAAATACATAACTCAGTCATGCTCCACAAGTTCATATGTTCAGTAATTTTAATATTTGTAGATTATCACTGCTTTTAGTAGATGTCCTTACACCATGGATTGATTTTGAAAGTGCGAAACAAATTTATGTTATTTTGGACATGACAGAGGCACTTGCAAACTAATATTTACTATGGTTGAATCATTGACGGTTGAAATTAGAAGTCCAACAAGTGACAGAATCATTGAATCTTACAAACATATGAAGCAGCATATTATAGACACAGCAATACGGTTACAAATTCTTAACGCATTTTTCAGTAATTAACGACCATTTAATTTAGTAGAAGAAAACGGTAACAATTTGTACATTCCACAATAAATAGAATCATTCTCAATTACCAATTAGAATAATCAAAATGGTTATGATCGAAATTTAACTAGGAAACGTCAAAGCAAGTCCTTAAATAACTAAGATCGCCAGATTTTCAGTATTTTGGTTCTGCGTTACTTTTACCAAAAACCACTTCACTTTCTGGCCTTGAAAACGAGGCAACTTCTTGGAACGTTAACTTTTACATGTTTTTCACACGCACTCTATGGTTCCAATGCAAACTCAGAATTCAGATTCAGGACATAATCGCCAGGAAGTCCACATGAAACAACAGGATACCTCAGCCCCACCAAAAAGTATATCTTCTAAAGGACTGTTGAAAGGAGATTATATCTCTCCAAATCAGGTACTGTACTATGGAATAAAATCCGTCCCCATTCTTAAATCTAGGATTCACCACCACTTTTTGGGTTATTTGCTGGCCACACTAGGCCTATAAATCAAGAATGCCCCTTTTTCTGATTCTGGGATGAAAAATTATGATCATGACCTTTTCAGTTACAAATTTTCTGTTAAACCTTCCAATCTTCAAAATAAAATTTCAAAAAGAAAAAAAAAATCATAGATATAAAAAACATGGGTTTAATGGGTCCAACTGCTAGACTTTCAGCGGATTCAGCCAAAAATTCAAAATCATCACAGAAAAATTAAAGCTATAAAAGATTAAACTGCATATAAGAGAAACCACACACTTACCTTAATTTATCTCAGACTCATCCAATTAATCTCATGAATGTCTCTGTGAATCCGATCTTTGATAGCCCAATTCTACACAAGCACATTCAGATCAACCACAAACTTAAAGACAAGAAATTACTCATTATAAAATGAACATATTAAAAATCTTCACAAGTGTATCTAGATTGGATTTTCAGTCAAGAACATCATTTGTCAATCTCACTTTGACCCCCATATGAAGTCTATGAACCAGAAGGCATTTCACTCAATGACGGCTAGGTATAACACTTCTAAGGAGGCAACAACTTGTTCACTTCAATTCAAATATAGATCACTTAAACTCTGGTTAAACCCTCAATTAGGAAACGAAATAACTCCACCCAATTGCTCTCAAATGGAAATAAAAGTGTCCCACTGCCAAATAAATCAGAACAGGAAAGGATGTCTATAAACAGGAAAAAAAATGCTAAGTTAATGCAATGGTGAACAGATAAAGGAAATCTTTGAGAACTTTTTTCCCTGCAAACCATATATGGAAATTTGAAGCACAAGCGCAATATTCGTTAATGAGGATAAGCTAAATTATTAAGCAGGCTTTATTTGTCAATCATCACTAGCTGTATTAAAGATTTAATTTACAATTTTACATAATGCACTACAATCTTTTTAATTACAACATTCACGACCATCAAGTTGAGAAACATGTGGCAGCATTTTTCCATTCATATACATTTGTTTCTGAGCAAAATCCTCTTTCACCAAGCAAACAGTTCATCTACATGCAAATAACAACAGAATCAAGATCACAGAGAAGAGCATGCATTTACCTTAATAGCATCAAACTGATCCAAGTAACACAAGATTAACACACAGAAAACAGAGAGAGAAGAAAAAAGTCAAATCAGGTTTCAAAAACTAATGTCCCCTCAATCCCCTGAGGAAGCCAAATGAAACGGAAACGAAGGGTCTTATCTTGGATAAGATAATTCAAACTGAAACGAAAAGAGAACTAGTCAATGAAATCTCAAGTAGTCATTTTACCTTCTTTTAGGCTATCTCAACAACCAACAAGACCTTTGGATATGTATTGAAATAACGAGGGCGAGAATATACAGGTGTGAACTTGAATTGTGAAACGAAGTTGCAAAGAATGAAAAGAATTGTTGTTAGTAAAAAGATTGTTCCTTTCTAGTTTCTAGATATATGTACGAAATACGGGATAAGTGTGTTAGGTTCAAAGCTGGTGAGATTTTGTAGGAGTTCCATGGATTCTAAAGTATAAACCAAAAATATTATTAATAATGAAAATAGGTGCTAATTAAGTTAAGATTTTGATTAAAAATGAAAAAACAAAATGGCGTTGGAATTTTGTATCCGAGGTTCCGTTTGGTCCGGGTGCCTCCGTTTTTGTCAAATTGGAAAGCGTTTGTTCAACAAAGGATGCTGTCGGAGACAACGGATTAGAAAGTCAGAAAAGAGAAGCAAAAATAGTTGGACACATTTTTATTATTATTATTGTGGAGAGAGAAAGAAACCACCACAGTTGGGATACATTGCAGTCTAGGTGGTCTTAAGCTGTCACTATGATCCTATTCTTCAACATTTTTTCTTCTTCCCAAACTGCCCTTACAAGAAATTATTGTGGAAGCTATTAATCTTTCATTATTTGGAAAACTTATGATGTGTATTGCTCCATGTATTTGGTGCATTGAATTATTACATAAATGCTTTATATGCACGAATATTTTATATTTCATCGTAATGATGTAATGCTTTTTAATTGATTTCGTGTATCAATAGCATTTATGTTTATTCTGATCGTTGTATGTCTATCTGGCATGTTGAAATATGAATATTAATTAATCTTATTTATTAGTCTTCGAAGATTTACCTCACTCTACAAAATCACACCTTATAATCACAACTTATAAGCGTGATTAAATGTGTATATTCACAATTAATTATGTAAATATATGAAGATTAATTATTATTTTAATTTCTCAGTTTATTATTCTTAAAGGATAATCCCAGGATTCGAGTGTCTCAGAAAAATATTTTTTAAAAAAAATAGTTTATTTTTCAAAGGTTCTTATATAAATGCTAATTTGTGTTTGATTAAATTGTAAACAATAAGTTTTAAAAAAAGTTTTTTTCTTTTAACTTGTTTGAATATGATAATTTAAAAAAAAATCATTATAAGAAAAAAAAAACTTAAAAAAACTTTTGAAAGTGTCGAGTTTTGATTTTTTTTTTAATTTCTTACTGTTAAAAAGTATTTACCTAAATACTTTACATTTCTTTATAATAGGGTTTTCATTTTTTAAAAAACATGCTCTTGAGATATAAAGTACTTCATGAATAATTTATATATACTAAATACTTATATATAATAAAAATTAAAGTTGACTATATTTTTCATCTTTATAGTTTTCATAAAAATTGATTTTTCGTCTTTATATTTAAATTTAATAAAATAATTCTTAAAAATATAAAAAAATGTTATATAAATTTAATTAATTTATAAAAAATATTACTAAATATCAAATTTAAATATAAAGAATGATTAAAATCACACCAAAATTATAATTATATGATAAATTCAAATAAAAAATTAGAATTGTCTATTTTTTATAAATTAGAAGATAAAATTGATTAATTTAAAAATATAAAAATTAAATACAATTTTCAAAAGAAAATTAAAAACTTACTTTTATCATAAAATTACTTCATAATCAAAATTATTCAATTAATTATACAAGAAATTAAACAATTACATTTTAATTCCTAATGATCAGTGTTTTGTAATTCCCATGTAATTTATGATTTTGGTCCCCCAAACTTAATGAAAATTTAATATATTTACTTGTATATTTATAATTTTATCCTCTCGATCTCTCCTCAATTTTGTAACTCTCATATAATTTATGATTTTGTCTCTCTCATACTTAATGATTATTTAATATATTTAAGTATATATCTACAATTTTATCTTTTCACCCTTTCATATTCTTTCTTCTTTTTATATTTATTTATTATTTATTAATAATATATTATTTGGTCCCCCAATATAAATGGTTAATAATTACACAAAATTACGTCATAGTTAGCATTTTTTTTTCTGTTATTTGTGTGTTTTTTTAATATTATTTCACCTCTTTTAACATGCATGCCCAAAGTGATAATATTGTCTTCCTGAATTGAACCATTTTTTTTTTAAATATGATTTCTTTGTACATATACATGCATCGAGCAAATTATCTTTCTCATTTGAAAATTTTGATATTCTTTTATATATTTTTTATTTTTGAAATAATTTTCCGTTTTTTAAAGTACAAGTACATAACGACAGTTATGCGTTTCATTCACATTTGAAATATATATATATATATATATATATATATATATATATATATATATATATATATATATATATATATATGTTTTGAAATTGTTTAAATTATTTCAACAATTTGTTCCCTCTCATAAACACCACTTTTTCTTTTTCTTTTGGAAAGTGTTTTTCTCTCAAACATATGCATGTGAAGAATATAATTTTTTTCCTTTTTTATTATTATTTTCCTTTTTTGTGTTTTGAAACAATTTTTTTTCTAATTAAAAATTTTCATCTTATATATAATTTCAAAGTTATCACTATTAAATTAAGTTGAAATTTTGAGGTTGATCATTATTTTTCACCTATAAAAAATAAATGAAAAAGTCAGTATCATCCGAATTAAAATTTATAATACAAAAATTTACTATTCGAATTTATTATATATAAAAGAAAGAATAAATGAGTAACTCAATCCGCA